CTATTCACAATAGCAAAGACTTGGAATCAACCCAAATGTCCATCAGTGACAGACTGGATTAAGAAAATGTGGCACACATGCACCATGGAATACTATGCAGCCATAAAAAACGACGAGTTCGTGTCCTTTGTAGGGACATGGGTGCAGCTGGAAACCATCATTCTCAGCAACCTATTGCAAGAACAGACAACCAAACACCACCTGTTCTCACTCATAGGTGGGAACTGAACAATGAGATCACTTGGACATGGGAAGGGGAACATCACACACCAGGGCCTATTATAGGGAGGAAGAGGGGAGGGATGGCACTGGGAGTTATAACTGATATAAATGACGATTTGATGGGTGCTGACGAGTTGATGGGTGCAGCACACCAACATGGCACATGTATACATATGTAACAAATCTGCACTTTGTGCACATGTACCCTAGAACTTAAAGTATATTTAAAAAAATAAAAAATAAAAATAAAAATAAAATTTAAAAAAATTCTGCAATTGAAGAATTCACTATAAGAACTACAAATTAAAGTTGAAAGCTTCTGCAGTAGACTAGAATAGGTAGAAGAATCTCAGAACATGAATAGATATCTTTTGAAATAATCCCATCAGACAAAAATAAAGAAAAGGAATAAAAAAGACTGGGCAAAGCCTTTGTGACAATTAAATATTAAAATTATCAATATCCACAAGGTCAAAGAGACAATGACAGGATTGGAAAATGTATTTAACTAAACAATAAATGAAAACATCTCAAGTCCAGCAAAAGATCTAGACATTTCAGATACAAGAGACTCAGCAATCCCCAGGAAAATAAAAATACAATGCAAAAAGGTCGTTTCCACAACACATTATAGTCAGACTGCCTAAAATCAAAGATGAAGAACAAATCCTAAAAATAGCAAGAGATAATCATCTATTCACATATTCACAGGCCAGAAGAGAATGGGATAATATATTTAAATAACTAAAAGAAAAAAATCTGGCCAAAAGCAGTGGCTCATGCCTGTAATCACAGCACTTTGGAAGGCTGAGGCAGGAGGCTTACTTGAGTCCAGGAGTTTCGGAACAGCCTAGGCAGCATGACAAGAACCAATCTTCGGAAAAAAAAAAAAAATTAGCTGGGTATGGTGAAGTGTGCCTGAAGTCTTAGCAACATGGGAGGCTGGGGCAGGAAGATTGCTTGAGCCTGGGAAGTTGAGGCTGCAGTGAGCTGTATTTACACCAGTGCACTCTCACCTGGGTGACAGAGTGAGATCCTGTCTCAAAAAAAAAAAAAAAAAAAAAAAAAA